CAAAGAGCAAGCTTCATCTTCAGTTGGATAGAACACTCGGTCTGCGAGAGCGTTATTTGAGGCCACGAGGGTCTCTGCTGCCAGCAGATCGCATCATACTGCTTTCAGTTACCACGATGGGGGAAGGTCAAACAGAGTTTGATCACGTTGAAAGATAATGAAAGGCTAAGTTTACATATCCAGCCGCTGTTATGGGCCACACTAAGCCACTTTGAAGGTTTGAAAAACTATTACAAGGAAAAAAAACAAACAAAAAACAAATGAAAGACAACAAAACAACAACCTCTCTAGCCTGGCTTATAATAGATGCAGCAGGATTTATGCACGTTCTGCAACCAACCATTAGAGAAGAAAGGAAAAAAAAATAATTGTCAAAAGGCAGGGATAACAGGAAAGTTACCAAATTTTTTAATTTCCGAATGTAATTTGAATGATGATTGTGGTAATAGTGACACATTCAAGTTTCTACAATAAACTTCAGTCTACCTCAGTTTAAGAAAAAAAAAATATGTGGCAACACATGGTGCATAAAGACTGCTGTGTGTGTGTGTGTGCGCGTGCGCGCCTGTATGTGTGTGGTCGACAGAGCCATGCTATTACCTCTGAACCTTTTTTTGTGATGTTTTTTGTGCATGAGATGATCAGAATCACCATGCTGCACTGATTTGAGGGGCACAACGAGCAAAAACATTTGTTTCATCATTTTGTTATCTACCTCTTAGGTTCATGTTGAAATAGAGGCATTACTACATAGACTAGATAATTTTCCCAAAGATCATTGTTGTACAGATTAGATAATTTTGAAAATGGTCTGAAGTGTTTTTTCTGCATCTCTTCTTTACTAATTGGTTTAAAAACCACAAACTTATGTTGTAGTTTTAGCAAAGAAAAATGAGTTTCTTTTCCTTTTTTGACAGTGACCTTCATCTAGCCTTTAGGATAATTTTTTTTCTTACAATGAATTTAAAATTACTGAAGTATGAAAAGTCATAGCATTTTAATTTTTGTTGAGGCTTAAGTCAGTCTGACGTTCCTTTCTTAATATTTGAGAAGGATTTGACTTCATTATTTTCCATAAAAAATACTTTACAAATAGGCGCTGCATTTACACCTGCTGATTTAAATACTGTCATCTCTCTTTAAATTTCTAGACTTAGTATGGTAAATCATGTTTTTCTTTTCAATTGAGACTTGGTAATTTGGAGTATTTGGGAATAGCTAGAAAGTAAATACTGTAAATGATTTCAATATCCACAAAGTATGGATCATTTTTCATCTGTAATGTGCCCCCCAATGCAGCTCCACTTGCCAGATGCCTCTGAATGGAATAAAGAGTTTAACTCCTATCATCAGATAAAGTTGTGTGGTGTTTTTTTAAATTAATGAGGCACAGAGACAGACTCTTCTAAATACCGGTGGCGCTTTGATCAACTTGGTTTTCTGTCCGTAATAATAACTGGATAAAGATGAGCAGTTGCCCACAGGTATTCCATAGTGCTCGGGCATCCAGCAGCCTGGTTATGACGTCAAGCAGTGACTGGGTGGTTTGTAGCTCATCTTCTTGCTTGCACGCACCAACGCTGCACAGTCTGTAGTAACACCTGGAGCTCAGGGTTTCAGTCTTACGTGGCTCACTCAGGCTGATCTGCTGTGAAAGGGATGTCTTCGACAGTCCTGACCCAGAGCAAACATGAAGGAATCTTTAACAGAAGCGAGACCTAAATTGCAGTTACATTTGGAGGTTTTTGGCTGCTTTTTACTCAGTCTCTACTTTGGTGCTCTCAGCATGATGAAGCTGTGTAATGAGCATGGCCCTAGAACCAGTCACACACAAGCAAGCAGAGGTGATGGCAACCTGTGTCTTGCTCCTACCACCACCACACCACTTGCCAGTGAGGGGATACTGCCGTTCTGCTTAGCTCCTTGTCAACATTGTGTGGAACAGAAACGAGATTAGATCCTTAACTGAATGCTGCAGAGTGAGAGGGAGGGGTTGGGAAATGAAGGAGCATCATGAATAATGTAATTTTGTCTTTCAAAGAGGAGCGGAAAACTCGTTTTCCCAACTCCTGCACCCTCCCACTTGTCTTCACAGCTCATTTACTGCGGCCAACCAGCAGAAAGAGGGAACTGAAGAAATTGTGTCTGTAGAAGACACTGCGTAGGGTATCGCATTTCACAGGTGACTCCATAAGCTCATTTTTCCATGCCAGTACTGAGCCGTCTCCTCAACCAGCATCCCCGCCATTTGAGCGACATAAGAAGTTAAGCTTTCCTCTGTATCACTGGTGCACTTGTGACAGCTAAACGCCTTTTCAGCATTTGCTTCATCATGATGCTTTTATTTGCTTCTAACCTTCCAAAGCTTTTATTCCTAAGCCGCAATTTCAAAGGCATGTGCTCTTTGTGTTAGTTTCCATTAAATGAAGCATGCATGAAGCTGTGCAGGACAGCATGGTTTCGACATGGTACTAGGGTGCAGGATTTTTAAATTAACGGGAAAAATCGCGGAGTAAGCACTCGTGCTGCACTGTAACGGAGAGGTCAGTTCAACTGATGGATGCAAACACTGCTTGATAATAAAGCTGCTCAAATGAAGTGCAGGAAATTAGTGAAAACGATGACAGAAGTTCCACCTTGACAATTGTTTCTCCTGTTTATCCCCCATCATCAAGGATTATCCACAGAGCCAAATCTGCGCAGGGAAGGACTGAATGAGGAATCTATAGACTCACTGGACAAGCTGCTCAGTATTTTTACTTTACATGAGCCGCCTGGTCCACAGAACGGAGCCCATTCCCATGTTTTCCTTCCAAAAGGGGTTTGATGTTGCACTGTACTGATCATCCAGCCTGTTCAGCTCCTAGGTCCCAGCTTTTAAGAGGGTCAGGCTCAGGGCTCACCAAGCCAGGCAGGTAACCTGGCTGGGGCACTGCAGTAGCCTGGCACAGATTCTGGCTGCTGCTGTTAAATGGGAGATGAGAAAGTTCTCTTCCTGAGCCAGCAGCTCTGATTATTTAATAGCAACCATAGGATGTTCTCTGTAACTCCTGTTCACAATGTGCTTTGACAGTATATACGTTTTCATTTATTTTACTTTTTTTGTCCCTTCAGTTCATTTGATTATATTTTTTTCTGGTCTTATCTTACAGACTATTTATTATCCCTTTCCAGCTCTAAGCTCTCCTGGTCTGTTCACACAGAAGCTGTTCCCCGTCTGGTACCATTCTTTTCTGGGTGCTCCTTTTGTTACTGTGCTCTTTAAGACAGGATACTGTGTGCGGTTCTGCCTGCTAGATGTGGGTTCATATAATGGTGTAACATTTGCTGAACCTGCCTCTATTCCGCTTGTGTTACCCATCTTCAGTAGCTGCAGTAAAAGGCGAATGTTTTCACAGAATGAACCGATGTTACTCCTACATATCCCTCCTCGGACGAAATGCCTGATTTAGAACTCGTCACTATTTCCTCCATGTGAATTACTTGGAAATACCATGGAGCATTCTGAAAACCTTTCTTGGAGGTCAGACTTAGCACCAATACCTTTAGTTTGCGGTCAAAGATGTTTTATCTGCTTAGTTTAACTACAGTTAATAAATGCTCCTTGTTTAATTTGCAGAACTATCTGCTTCCTTGTATCAAAGAGCAGATGAACTTGGTGGGGGTCAATTATTCCTGAAAGAGCAGAGGCAAGACACAGCAAAAAACATAACAGGTCAGAAATGAGGGAGGTTTTTTTTAGTGGTGTAGATTTTTATTATTATTTGAAAGAAAATAAAACACACCTCCCTAACCAACAGAACCAGAAGCTCAAAAAAACCAAGTTGACTTTCTTGGAGAATTACAAACAGCAGTTGCTGTGCAGGGAAAAGCTGCAGATGGGGCTTGAATTAGTTCATGGAGCTACGAGGAAAAGGTGATTAAACTCAGGATCTACTGTTCCTGCTTCCTGACGTACGGCAGAGCAAGCTTCTCCAGAAGCTAGCCTAACCTAGCGATGAAAGCCCCGTCCCAGAGTGGAGAAAAGCACCTCATTTTACACAAACCAGTTTTGTTACCGTCTTGAAGCTTTTCTCACTGGTCATTAGACCATCAGCAGTCACAGAACATACCGCGCCACGAGCCCTGGAAGCGCTTCATCAGTCCAATAGCAGCGATTAATGCTCAGGAACTGGTGGCTTCCTTGAGAACTACTGTCACCCACTTCACAGGCACTGAATGTTGACGCTGCCAGAGCACACTGCCTCAGCGTCCTTTTCCAGAAACTAGGTGAGAGGAAAACTAGAAGAAGAGCAAACTGCACACTTAGAACAAGCTGAATGTTAACAGGAAGACAAGGAATTGAAGCTCTCCAGGTTTTGGGTGTTTTTTTTTTTATTTATTATTATTAAAACCAAACCAGATTGGCCTTGATTGAAAAACTGACTTACTATTCCATTAAGTTAAGACACGTTTATTTGTCACTGCTGCTCTTGGCTCTTATGTGTTCAGTAATACCAGTGTTTTCTCTCCTCCAACTCCAGCATGACTTGCTTCATTGTGACCAGAAGCAAATGGCTTAACACAAGAAGCCTCATTTAAACTATTTCACATAGTTTTTCTTCACACCTTTCAAGTCGTTTTTGTGCTCCCCGTACAGGCAGATTTTTAAAAGACGCTAGAAAAACAATCAGTGTAGAAGCTGAGCACGAGTTTCAGGGTAAGTAGCTTTCACAGCTGTCTTTGCCCTACTGCATGCTCCACTGAGACACTGACGGCCCCCAGGAAGCTCCGTTATTGCAGGACGCCTTTGTCATTTTGTGGTTAGACTCAACCTTAAGCGTCTCTGCCAACTTCAACGATTTTGTATCGTTTTTGCAGCTTATTCAGAATGTTACCTAGCCGCATCCACTAAATGATCAACTGCAGACTCACTGGACAAGCTGCTCGGTACTTTTACTTTACAGATCAACTGTAGTGTCTGTTAAGCCAGCAAACAAGAATGTACGCTCTCTCAGAGCTATGAAGGCACGCTCGTTTCTCTTTCCACTCAGCAGCCACATTAAGTTCTTGCCTCAAGATGATCACTGCTGTCAGGAGTCAGCCCAAATATGAAGTCTTCTGGCAGTGGCTGTGGCATCATCTGTGCTAACTGGTCATCATAGGAACCAAGAGTCCATAGCTTCTCCAACTCATAAACCTCTCGTGTCTCTGGCAGCATGAAATGGAGCACGATGCTATCTGCACAGAAGAGAAATCCACAATAAATTACAAGGAACTGTAAAGCACTGCCACACCTCCAGCTGCACAAAGAGTTCAACTCTTCCTCCCCTCCCCGCACTGTGACCAGCTGTATCAGGTCAGCTGGTGGGGGCATCTCCTTAAGTTGTTGATTCCAGTCCTCGAACAGTGTTAGGAATCACTCAGTCCTTCAAAAGACTTGAAGACTACAATCAGGAGAGTGAGAGGGGTAACACTAGGGTTTTAATTAAAGCATTATCACATGACTCCAGACCAAAGAAGTTATAACTTTGAGAGGATGGAAGGAAGTAGATCAGGTGAAAGTCCTCTCCCTAAAGTTAGAGATGGACTTTCAGCTTTCCTGTGCTAGCAACAACATTCAGCTACAGCCAAGCAATTTTCCTTAGGTGTGCTGCCTGCACTTCTCAGGTGTTGTTTGGATTTTTTTTTTGTAATGAAAAAGGTCCCAACTTTGACATAATGAGGTTTTTTTCTTACAGCTTTTCATTAATTCTGTGCAAACAACAGCAGAAAACATTAATTCCAGAGTACTTGTAATGCACTTTTTTCTAGTTATGCCCTTACATTTCAGTTTGTTTTCAGTCATAATTCGCAAAACCACTGACAGTAACCAAGGCTTAACATCACTGGCTATGGTGCTTCTCAGCCAGTCATGTCCTGTTTTAAACCAAAACACAAAGTTAGAGGGTGAGATTCTAGAGCTAGCAGTGAAGGAGACACACTTTCTGAATGTAAAGTCTTATATGTTTGTGTCGAGTTTCATGATTGCAGAATAAAGAATTAGGCTGAATTTCTTAGGACGAGGTTTTACTCCATGTTATAGTATGATATGGGCACTGGAAAAATCTGTTCGGTAGTTCACTACTAGAGCAGCACACAAAGAGCCCCCCCTGACTCAAACAGGAATACAAACCTGAGAAAACTGACTTTCTACTATTGCTACCTTAAATTTATTAAGACCTGTTGCAGCCACTGAAGAGTAATTACTGCTTTCTTCTCAGTGCCAATGATCTTAAGTGAAAACTTATTTAGTGTCTCAATGAGTTCAAGAAACAACACCTGGAATGCTAGAACAGCAGGGTAGAGCGAACTCCCCACAGAAACCAGAGCTCATGCAGAACTTCATATTTGTCAGATACACAAATACTTACCAAAATCAATGCACAGCCAGTCATCTGTCTCTTTCCCTTCAATCTGAACATGAGGATCACCTTCTTCTTTGTGATGCTTGTACTGGCAGAAGAAGCAATGGCAGAAAATTAAATACTTGTTTGTTTAAAAGCACTGAAACGTAACAGATCAGCTGACTTTCCTGAGTTGCCTAGAGTTGTTTTAAATCTTAAAAGGGTTAGATTGCTTCATGTTGGTTCTGGAGTCTACACCAAAAAAAAATAACTAATATACCCTTGCAGCACTGGAAAATAAGTATAGATTTCTCAATGGGATTTATTATCAAATCTGGAAACTTACCACTCAGAATGCCCATAAAGTTATCCACGAATTTTATAGGTATCTCTTTTTTTTCTTGCAAGATGAATACGAATACAATCACTTAGCTTTAAAGCAGTCTTTCAGTTACTGCTTCCCTGTAGCTGCCATTACCACTAAGCTTTTTTTTTTTTTTTTTTAATTTCAGATACCTCACTGTTGTTTTACGTTGGCTAGTAAAGGATGCAGAAACGGAGAAGACAAGCTTATCCTCTGCTCAGGCTGAAGGAGATGGGGAGAAAACAAGTTTCACACCATGCCATGAGGAAGGCATTCGACAAGCCTCCTGTCGGTTGGGTGCAGGCTCTCCACGCCCACTGCAAGATGGGGTGAAAGCAGAACCTGCGCACAGGTTTCTGAGCTACAAAGTGCTGTGAGCGAGGGGAGCAAATGGCCAGCGAGGGCAAAGTAGTCAGGTCCCTACACAATGTGCTGGCTTTCACAGCTGCCAGTTTGAGAGGCTCACCTCTCCCCACCTAGTACATAAAGAGCTGAAGAATTCTGACAACTAGAGGCTTAAGTACTGTCACTTTTAGATCTGGCCGTAAGCTACTTGTTCTTTTACAAAAAGCATCAATAGAAAAAAACCCAAACACAACGGCATGGAGTTAACTGCATCTTTACAGAGCTCCTTTATTCACATTTCTAATTTGTTTCTAGTTGAAGCAATCAAAAAACTATGGAAACCTTTTTCAAGCTGAAATTAAAAAATAAACCACACAACATTTACTTCAGCACAAGGCCACAAGGAAACCAAGAGTGAGACTCTGTAGCTCTAATAGTCCTTTCTGCCATGAAAGACAAAACACAAAATAAGCGGTTTTAACAGCATGGCTGGCTAGCAAACGAGTCTCACTTCACCGGAAAAGCAATTATCACAAATTGCAACTCTTCCTCGTCATTCTGACCTAACGCCAGCTGCCAGACAATGGCTCTCTTTGCAAACCAGAATGGAGAACTTCCAAAATGCAATTCAGAACTAGTTCTACCTCCCTTTCTTTAAGACAGCTTGTGAGAAATCCTCAAAAGCAGGGAATTGTCAGAGTCTCTGAACACCTTCCTAACCAAAGAGCCCGGTGTGCACTGCCATCAGCCACGTGTCGCAGAGGCTGGGAAGGCTGATCTCCACCACAAGGTTTCCTTCAGCCTTGTCTTGAAGGGCTGTGTAATAACAATAAAGCAAAGTTCAGTTTCTTCCTCCAGCATGAACCCAGACAGAAAGGGGTAAGCAGCAGTGGGGACCTTGCCATTTACACATTGCTGGAAGAAAAGCAGGAAGACGTCGCACTACACATGAGCACCTCTGCATTTCAGTATGCGTAGATCTTTCCTGGCCATAAAGTTTCTCCCTTCCCTAGTCTGGTTCTTATCCCTAAGTTCCACCTGTATTTTTATCCTGACCTCTGTTTTTGTATTGAAAAGCTCCGTTCCAGCAAAGCCAAACAGTGTGAGACTTCTGTGGAAGGATGGAGGCTGCTGCTTCTCCTTTCCTCGTGGATGAGCCCAGTATGGCAACCACTGACCAGCAGTTTGCTTTAGCAAGGCCATGAGGGGCTCCTGTGCCTCATAACATGCCATCTTTTTTCCAGCCTTATGACATACCTAAGAACCTGGAACGCTTAGAGTTTAGGGTTTGAGAACAGTCAGATTAAGCTATTTCGAATGAGGGGGAATAGCTCTGAAGCTTGCTGGACACAAGTCAAAAGCGGGCACAGGTTGTCAGCACCATCTCACATCACTCTTGTTCTAGCTACTAAACTGTCAACAGCTAATGTCAACACTACTGTAAATACAGCAAGGTTTGTTTTTAAAATGCATTCTCTACATTTTGAGTTGTACCGCTAAAAGAAAAAAAAAATTACAGTTAGTTACTAGATGTATTCAGGACTAAATGAAATAAGGATAATTAGTTTCATCTTGTCTGGCACACCCCTATAGATGCAATGCTGGGGAAATTCCTTTCACAAACTTAAAACCATTCCCCAAAACCCAGCGAGTGCAGCAGGAACTGTCTTACCATTTTCAGCATATAATGTGCCATTGCATGGAGATGTCGTGTTGAAGTTCCACTCACAATTATAAAGTAATTACAGTATTTTATTTCTGGAGGTAACTGGATGACAACGATGTCTTTAGCATTTTCTTGCCTCAGTAGAGATACAACAAAGTCAATGTTGAACTTTGGAAGAACAGAATCTGGAACAGACAGAAAAAGTAATACAGCAGCCATTTATCATTTTAATTGCAAAAATCAACCACTTACAAAGAAACAAAACAGCAATGAAATTAATTACGGACTAGCTCAGCCACTCAGCAGGGAGTTTTGTTTGATACTGTCAATGCAACGTGTATTGCAAATTTTTAAAAATCATTTTTAAAACCACCAAGCACTAAGCACTCTTCTGGTAACTAACACTCTACCACTAGGTATAGCAGTTAGCAAAGACCAAAATTTTTTTCAGGTAGCTTATCTCTGTTGTTAGTAACTAAAGGTCAATGCTACCAACAAATATTTGTCAATTAAAATGAACAAAACCTCAGTATCTCAACAAACATTATTAAAACAACAGACAAAATTAAAACCATTTCACAACAATGCTGTGAAGAGGCCTGTGATAATACACGGTGATGAAATCACTCTAAAATCTTAAGCTGATAAAATCAACATATTGGAAACGGAGCTGATATAATGCAGTGTGCAGGTACTTTTAATCATCACACTGAATAAAGTCACTTCTTTTTCTTTTTCCCTAGCCTGTTCTGCCACAGAGGATTATGATATTGTAGATAAAGCTTTAGTCCTTCAACAGTTTAAGCTTACAAACCAGTAAATTAGTGCAACTACCTTCTGTTCACACCATGAAATCAGTTTATTTCCAATTTGCCCTAATTAGATAGATGCAACTTGTGTGCACATTTAAGGCATAATTTGAATCTGTCAGCAACACACGCCTGCCACTATAAAGTGAACATTAGTGTAGACCAAGCATCAGCACAAAGCCAAGCTTTATACTTACCAGTATAAAGAAAAAGCCAAACAAAAGAACAATAGCTACATGTAATTATACGCATGAATGGGGATATGAAATTGGATCAGATCGCTGTAAATGAAAGCCTTTGAGCTTAGGGACTCATGCACTCTTTCAACTTTTGCTGTGGTCACACATGAAGAAAATTAGCAGTGGCCACAGCTCCTCCAGACACAGCAGTTACAAAACTTCAATATTTGCCTGGTAGCCACATGTGAATCCTCTAGTGCCTACTTAGAGAACCAATGGTCTAAACAACCCCAGGCACTCTCTGCCGCAGTGAATGCCATGGCCAGATCTAGGCTACAGAAGATTGGCACAACAGCTACAACAACAAACCGGCTTGGCGCACACCACGTTTATACCCATAACCAGCTGTTACGCTACTGAAACTCCTGTCTACGCTGGGAAACTTCTTTGCGAGTGGACATCAGAGAAACACGCCTCCAACCCGGCACCACCAGCCTCACAAAGTTGCCGGGTGTACCTACACCAGGTTCGGTCTGCGCTCGCCACCGACTCGCCTGGGAG